AGTATTATCATTGTTACTATCATCATTAGTGTTCTATTATTATTATCATTTCACCATCATTATCATTATTATTATTACTATTGTTATCATTACTATCATTATTATGATCAATATTAATATTATCATTATTATCATTGTTATTATTGTTATTATCATTATCATACAACCACTACTACTACTACGACTACTATTTATGACAATAATACTAATAATGCTACTACTACTAATAATAATGATGATAATAATAACAATAAAAATAATAATGATAAAATGATAATAATGATAATGATAAAGTGATAATAGTAATGATAATGATAATAATAGTAATGATAATAACAATAATAATGATAATAATGTTGATGATGATACTACTACTATGAATACCACTACTAATACTGATTATGGGTAAGTGGGCCAACAGAATACGTCGTAAATGGGCGAGTAATCAAAAAGCACACAGGAAAACAGGGAAAAATGAAGATAGTGATGCGTGTGAAAAAAAAGAAAGAAAGAAAGAAAAGAAAAAAAAAAACGGGGAAAAAACGGGAAAAGATAAATAAGAGAAACTAAGACTAAGAAAGATCTTATTCGAAATAGATAAATGAATATATAAATAAATAAAAATAGAATAAAATAGATAAATAAATGTAAAGAATAACCACAATATATGAAACATAAATAAAACAACATCCAAGATAACTCCCGCGCATAACGAGCGTAAAATAAATAATAAAGCCTAGCCCACGAGCCTACAGGAACACCAAAGAAACCAAAACACTCACAACGCCCACAAAACACCACACCCACACTCTCCTGCGGGCGGGAGAAGTCCATGAATCAAGATTTATGGTGTTAGGGGACTAAGCTGCCTGACGCCCAACAATACGGAATGGAACGCCCGGAGGAAGTAATAGTTATTTCTTTAGACTGTTTACTATAGTTAACGCTGTTATCTCCATTCTCTTTATCCTCTTCGTCTCCATCAGCTCTATTATTATGATTATTAATCTTATTATCATATTTTTTATTAATATTATCAATTTTGTGTTTATTTTTGTCATCGTTATCATTATCATGGTCATTTGCTTTCATTATTATCGATGATATTATTATCATAATCACCAAACTCATGGTAATTATAATAATAAAGGCAATAATTATGATGGTAATAATAATGATGATGATGATAATGACGGTAATGACAATATTGATATTGCTATTTTTACTTTCATTATCATCATCATCTTCGTCGTCATTACTCTTTTTGTCCCAATCATTATCATTATGATGATTGCATTTATCAGTATTACATCATTATCATAACTATCATTACCCTTATCATTTTATTCATTACAGTTACTCTTACCATTTTTTATTTTATTATTACTAAAATCATCTTCATAATCATTAACACAATCATAATCATCATCATAATAATAATCCTGATCATAAACATCACCATCATTATCATCATCATAATCATTATCCTCATCAGAATCATCATCATGATAATAATAATTATCATCATTATAATCCTCCTCCTCCTCATCATCATCATCGTCCTCATTATCCTCGTCCTCGTTATAAATAAAATCACTTAATGCAAAATGGAGGAAGGGCTGGAATTAATTACTCCATTCATTCATTCTCAGACATTGGGGGGTCTTTTTAATTAGAATATGTCATGCAAAAAAGTGTTCCCAAAAATATTCCGTCTTTTTCTGGGAAACGTGTAACCCTTTCCTAATAGTTTTAATTCATCACTCGGTCACTTTGCTTAATTTGATTACATTTACATATATCACACTCGCCTTCAGACTTTTTCGTTCTCTCTTTAATTGAAGGAAATAAAGGAGAGAGAGAGGAGAGAGAGAGAGAACAGAGAGAGAGAGAGAAGCTGAAAGCGATGAGCGAGAGCGAGAGGAGAGAGATGAGAGAGAGAGAGAGAAAGAGAGAGAGAGAGAAGAGATGGAGCAGGAGAGAGAGAGGACAAATCGAGAGAG